TAGTTAATATGAGACTTCTAATATAAGATACACGTTTGATTTTGTTTCATGTTTAAAACTGAATATTGCAGTTTTTATTTGTGGAATATTGCAGATGATGACTCCTTTTGTGACAGCAAAACTTGGTGGTAAATTTGTGACAGTGGATGCATCTGGGTTACTGGTTTCAACATTGCAAGTAAAAGCTTTACCTCTGTTAAGTTAATTAATGTTGTCTTTGTGTGAACTATGTTGCAATTGTTACTTTGTCTTTGAACAGGTTGTTCTTGTTCCTGTTCTGGTTGGTGCATTTCTGAATCAGTTTTTCCAACCAATTGTGAAAGTTGTCTCTCCAATGATGCCAGCCTTTGCAGTAACAAGTGTGGCAATTTTATGTGGGAATGCTATTGCTCAGAGTTCTTCAGCAATCCTTGTGTGTGGTGAAGTCATTTTAGCCACCTTTCTTCTTCATGCTTCTGGCTTTTTCTTTGGTTACGTTTTTTCAAGATTCATTGGCCTAGATTTCTCATCATCACGTACCATATCCACTCATGTTGGCATGAAGGTATAAAGTTTGTACCCTTTAATTGAACAACGATATTATAACACATTTTTACACACATTTTTACATTTATTTAACAACAAGAGTAAAATGTTCATAAAATTATAAATTTTTATATTTTTTTAGGTGAAATGTAATTGTCTATTCTGAATTTATTCAATCTTTTATCTTATTAATCTCTTTTAACTTTATATAAGACTAAATTATTGTGTAATTTTTATTTTCATAAATCTATAAAGTTATGTTGAGATTAACTTCTTAATATAATAATAAGCTTTTAGTAAAGTTTGTTTAACATTGTACATTGTTATTAAGTTATTCGCAAATATTTAATTTCACGTGACATTGTTATTAAATTATTTACAAATATTTAATTTTACATAAGAGATGTATTTTTTTTGAAGAATATATTAAAATATATTAAAAATATACAAAACCATATTAATATACAATTTTGTTGATAATTTAAATATAGATCTAAATCTCATTAATTTTAAATAAAGATCGACAGTAATTAAATCCCATAAGTTTTGAATTAGAATGACATCAATGTTAAAGTCATGTTTCATAAATGTTGTCTTTTTCAGTTAATCTTTTTCAAAAAAATCATCAAATTTTTAATTTATAAACTAATTTCATAAAATTAAATTAAGTTTAAATTCATTGTCTAAGAATAAAAAGCAGTTAATTTATGAGCATTAATTTTGTTTAGTTGTTATTTGATGGGATTTTGTAGAATTCAATTCTTNAGATTAACTTCTTAATATAATAATAAGCTTTTAGTAAAGTTTGTTTAACATTGTACATTGTTATTAAGTTATTCGCAAATATTTAATTTCACGTGACATTGTTATTAAATTATTTACAAATATTTAATTTTACATAAGAGATGTATTTTTTTTGAAGAATATATTAAAATATATTAAAAATATACAAAACCATATTAATATACAATTTTGTTGATAATTTAAATATAGATCTAAATCTCATTAATTTTAAATAAAGATCGACAGTAATTAAATCCCATAAGTTTTGAATTAGAATGACATCAATGTTAAAGTCATGTTTCATAAATGTTGTCTTTTTCAGTTAATCTTTTTCAAAAAAATCATCAAATTTTTAATTTATAAACTAATTTCATAAAATTAAATTAAGTTTAAATTCATTGTCTAAGAATAAAAAGCAGTTAATTTATGAGCATTAATTTTGTTTAGTTGTTATTTGATGGGATTTTGTAGAATTCAATTCTTGGGGTTGTTTTGGCAATGAAGCACTTTGGGGATCCCCTGGCTGCTGTACCTGCTGCTGTTTCAACTGTGTCTCAGTCAATCATCGGTAGCATCCTTGCACGAATTTGGAGAAACTCTCACCATGTTTAATCGCTCAGGAAAAATGATATTTAAATATTACAGAAATAAAGGGAGAATTATAAGCATGATACATGCTTTGAGGAGAATATTTACACGTACTAAAATCTATTGGGAATTTATGATGTTTTCTTATAAATCACGATTGCTAATATTTAAATAATAATAATTACATTGTGTGATGATTTTCATATTCCTAATTTTTAATGGTTAGAATTTAGTTTCACATTTTAAATTATATATAATATATTCACTAACAAAAAAACAATTACGTATATTATTTTAGATCTTTTAATTTTGATATATATCTCAAATTTTCACATATGATATTTTATAAATAATACAATAATTGTAACTTTTATACTATCTTCCACTGGGAAGAATAAGAATTTCCTACATGATGTATATTTTTATACTCAGATTTCAATTATAACACTCATAAAGATAATTTGAACCTCTTCTTTATTATTTTTCTGTCTTCCTCTTCATTTGCACTGTTCCAAACATCATTATCTCATCTGCTCCCGTATAACACCCACGTCATACAATCATCGCAAAAATATGATTTTTCATCACATACACAAACAGGTAAGGGTGAGCTACCATGTAACAGACTATTAAAAATGATGCATGATACTACTACTACACATAACTCATATTCATGCCAATGATTATACTAGACTCTATTATCCGGATGGAACATTGATGGAAGTCTCGGGTGATCGTGCACTTATGGTGACCTCCACTCCCCAAACAACAAAAATAATGGCCAAATACAATCCAACATGTCACCACAAGGTTAGTCCGTTAACACCTATATCAAAAATAGGTACATAGATAGACTAGGACATCCTGCCCCTCTCACCACAGAATCCATCATTCTCTACTTGAGACAGAGTTATTAGAGTATCAGGGATGATCTTCCCAATGGAACCCTCAACATCAACGTGTACAATAATATCATGCCACTACAGAATCTCTCCATGAGACTCATATCATATTCATATTCATCAACTCATACCATGATACTACAAAATCTCTCCACCAGACTCATACCATATTCAAATGCATAAATTTATATCCAATATAATAAAATGCACCCATCACAGATTTCATATGAATTGTGTATATTGTAAAATAAATTAGCAGTACATAATCTGTTCAATAAGAGTTAAGTTAAAAACTCGTCGAGTAGACTTCTAGGAAAGAGAGGTGTGTCTCAATGGACAACTTAAGTACCAAGTCTTTTCTAGGCAAAGTGTTCTTCAACTAGTGTTTAACAAATTTCTTATTCACAGATTCAAAATAATAACATAGTTTTTCATAAACAATATTAATACATAAATTCAATGCCTGAACAATTATACAACTAACACATATCTTTTTAATTCGAGATATGAATAGTCATACAATAGTATTATATAATCAACATAAAAGCTTAGAAAGGTTAGCTCCCCTTACCTCTTTTCCAGAATCATTATCTTGATCGGAGGTTGTTCCAGGAAAATGTAACATCCCAAAAATACAGTGTAAAATCATATCATAGAATAATCACATATTAATAATATTACAGTTCAGTTCTGCAAGGGAAAGAAGGTACAATTATGGCTGAACGGCCTTACAAAAATACCATAGAATTTAAAATTTTACATAAAGAAGAACTAGACCGAACGGTTCCCAAAACTATGCTTATACCGAACAGTTATACAAAATGAAAATCTCTAATTGTTGAACGGTGTTAAGGTTCAGCCTTAACCTCCACTTCTTCCAAGGCTTCTTCCAGCAAGCACTCTTCCCCTTCTGCTCACATCCACAAGATGATCATTGCAACAGGAATGACGACCGAACGAACAATATAGACAAGACAGGAAATATGGTAAGCTTATGTAATTTATTTAATTCAATAAAACATATAATTCCATGATTCAATCAAACAACAACCAATCATAATCATACATCAATGCATGCAACGACCGACCAATATATTCTGATTGTCCGGACTGTATGAATTCTGTGTAGCTACGACGTTTTTGCACCCGGGTGATGTAGTAGCTGCGATGCCCTCAACAGCTGCCACCCGAGGTTAGTCCGTTATAACTCGTCCATCTTAACCTTATGGACTAGGATCTCCTGTCATTCTCACAGATGATTTACTCCTCTCTACTTGAGAATGAGTAATCACAGAATATCAGGATAAACGCCACCTTAGCATGACCACATTCATACATTACCATTCCATAACAAAATCTTGAGACATTCCTCCCTGGAATACTCTTTCATATCCATACTATTCCATTTATTTCACAATTTAATTACCATCATACTTCACATTACATTCCTCATCCATCATATCTTTAAATAAATATCATCATAATTAATCATCAACATAGTCATACCAATCCAAGAAAACAATATCCCATCTTAGAAGCAAGTCCGAACGAGAGAATACCTCTTGAACTAATCTAACCGAACACTTAATGTAAGACCGAGCGGTCTTTCACTTATCCATAGAATAGGATCGAACGATCCATACGAGACAAGACTCATCATAAGCCTAACACTTATCATAATAATAAAGAAAGTTTACTGGATTCACAACAACTTTGACCGAAAGATCTTTACTAGACAGAACTCAAGAAATATGTGGAATACTATAGAATACATATAATTAAACCTGACTGAAGATAAGGAAAGTTTTTATCAGAGACCTAAGAGTTTAAACCGAACACTTTGGTGTTTGGTCGAACACTCTTAATACCCAATGCAAATATATTACGGAATATATTGTAGAACCTCTCAACACCAAATTTCGTCAGGATAATTAAATAATATATATATTTTTATTTTATTTTATATAATTTTATTATGTTTTATTATTTAATTTTATTTTTATCTTCTTTTACTTTAATCCCTTTGTTAAAGGTTCTAGACAAAAAAAAAACAAAAAAATGGCAAAGGTCAACTTTCTCGGTCTGCATTATTTTTCTTCGTTTCCACGCTATCTCCCATTCTTGTGCAAATCTGATAGAGGCCTTTTACATTACCGATCGTCCTTAACGATCGTCTCCACTTATCGGTAAGGACTCTCAGACGATCGGCTGTACCGTTCGTCAGGTTTTGTTTACTTCTCGTTACTGGTTCTGTTGTCTTCTCACTGCCGATCGGCCCTACTCTCGGACGATCGGTCGTAACGTTCGACAGGTTCAGTTGTCTTCTCACTACCGATCATTTTCTCTCTAGGACGATCAGTCTAGGAAGCTGACGATCGGTCTATGAAGCTGCTCGGTCTGCGTTCTACTTGTCTTAGTTGTTTCTTTATTTTTTCTGTATAAATACTTTGTTTTGTTGTCTATTCTGCAACTTTTCAATACAATTCATTTTCAGTTTGTTCTTTCTGGTTTTCTCTTTCTCGTTTCTCTGATCACTTACATGGTATCAGAAGACAAATACTTTTCTGTTTTATTCTCATGGCTTTCTCCATTTCCACCACCAATTATCTTTCTAACCCTGTTAATCCTCTGTTTCTCCATNGTGCATTTCTGAATCAGTTTTTCCAACCAATTGTGAAAGTTGTCTCTCCAATGATGCCAGCCTTTGCAGTAACAAGTGTGGCAATTTTATGTGGGAATGCTATTGCTCAGAGTTCTTCAGCAATCCTTGTGTGTGGTGAAGTCATTTTAGCCACCTTTCTTCTTCATGCTTCTGGCTTTTTCTTTGGTTACGTTTTTTCAAGATTCATTGGCCTAGATTTCTCATCATCACGAACCATATCCACTCATGTTGGCATGAAGGTATAAAGTTTGTACCCTTTTAATTGAACAACGATATTATAACACATTTTTAAATATATTTTTACATTTATTTAACAACAAGAGTAAAATGTTCATAAAATTATAAATTTTTATATTTTTTTAGGTGAAAAGTAATTGTCTATTCTGAATTTATTCAATCTTTTATCTTATTAATCTCTTTTAACTTTATATAAGACTAAATTATTGTGTAATTTTTATTTTCATAAATCTATAAAGTTATGTTGAGATTAACTTCTTAATATAATAATAAGCTTTTAGTAAAGTTTGTTTAACATTGTACATTGTTATTAAGTTATTCGCAAATATTTAATTTCACGTGACATTGTTATTAAATTATTTACAAATATTTAATTTTACATAAGAGATGTATTTTTTTTGAAGAATATATTAAAATATATTAAAAATATACAAAACCATATTAATATACAATTTTGTTGATAATTTAAATATAGATCTAAATCTCATTAATTTTAAATAAAGATCGACAGTAATTAAATCCCATAAGTTTTGAATTAGAATGACATCAATGTTAAAGTCATGTTTCATAAATGTTGTCTTTTTCAGTTAATCTTTTTCAAAAAAATCATCAAATTTTTAATTTATAAACTAATTTCATAAAATTAAATTAAGTTTAAATTCATTGTCTAAGAATAAAAAGCAGTTAATTTATGAGCATTAATTTTGTTTAGTTGTTATTTGATGGGATTTTGTAGAATTCAATTCTTGGGGTTGTTTTGGCAATGAAGCACTTTGGGGATCCCCTGGCTGCTGTACCTGCTGCTGTTTCAACTGTGTCTCAGTCAATCATCGGTAGCATCCTTGCACGAATTTGGAGAAACTCTCACCATGTTTAATCGCTCAGGAAAAATGATATTTAAATATTACAGAAATAAAGGGAGAATTATAAGCATGATACATGCTTTGAGGAGAATATTTACACGTACTAAAATCTATTGGGAATTTATGATGTTTTCTTATAAATCACGATTGCTAATATTTAAATAATAATAATTACATTGTGTGATGATTTTCATATTCCTAATTTTTAATGGTTAGAATTTAGTTTCACATTTTAAATTATATATAATATATTCACTAACAAAAAAACAATTACGTATATTATTTTAGATCTTTTAATTTTGATATATATCTCAAATTTTCACATATGATATTTTATAAATAATACAATAATTGTAACTT